TCATGTTTCATCAGATTCGTTACACCGTTGTATTTTCAAAGTGCCTAATCATTTACGGAAGATAAATGAAAAGGCCTATGAACCTCAAGTGATCTCCATTGGCCCTTACCACCGTGGTAAAGATCACTTGAAGGCAATGGAAGTGCACAAAAAGCATTATCTACAAATGCTCCTTAACCGAATGAAAGAAAATACTACGGAGAAATATGTGAAGGCCTTGGAAGATCTTAAAGAAAAAGCTCTCAAATTTTATGCGGAACCCCCGGATCAGAAGGATGGAGGAGATCAATTTGTAGAGACGATGCTCTTTGATGGATGCTTTGTTGTTGAACTTATCCGTAAGAGTGCCATGAAGGAATTGACAGAAGACAACGGCCATCTTCTTACACATTTTATTTTGAGAACAGTAATGCGGGATATGTTGCTAATTGAAAATCAACTTCCTTTCTTTATACTCATGGAGTTGTTTGACATGACTAAGATGCCAAATGAAGCAGATCAGAACTTCATGCATATGGCTATTAATTGCTTCTCCATAATGATGCCAGGACCTTGTAATAAAAAAATTGAGAATCACCCAGGCATCGAGCATCTACTGGGCTTACTACATGAGAGCTGCGTTTCACCTGATTACGGGGGATCTTCAGAAGAAGTAAGGCGTTTGCCCTGTGAGTCACTTGATGAGAAAGTAAACCCTCTGTCCTTTTCATCAAAGGTTTCACCACCTGAGTCACCGGAAGGAGTAAGGCTTCGTTCACCTAAGGCAATGGCTGTTGCCTGTTCTGCTAAATCAGTAAGTTCTTCAACAACTAAGCCATCAGAGATTGTAAGGTCTCTTTCCTCTGACGCACTTCTTATGAATCGCAATCTTAGCGGTTCGGAGTCAGCAAGATCTGCGAAATCCAAGTCACAACTACTGTCTCTGAAAAATCACTACTTACAGAAGTGTTCAGCATCGTTTGTAAGATTTTCTCCAACCAAGACATCAGAGGAAGAAAAGTCTCTGCTCTCTAACACAGCTCTTATAACTCCCCAGCTTTCAGAGATCGAAGCAGGGTCAGTAAGTTTTGAGGTATCCAAGACGTCAGGGGGAGTAAACTCTCGGCCCTCCGATACAATTCTTACGAACATCCACCATTCAGGGATGGGAGCAGAATCGGAGAGTTTCGTGGCCTGCGAGTCTTCAGTAGGGGCTGTTGAAGATTTACGGACAGCAAAGTCAGAACGTCATGAAGAAAAAAATTGCAATTGGCAAACAATAGGTTCTGCATCAGAGCTTCATGAGGCAGGGATCAAGTTTCAAAAGATCGAGGGTAGATTGTTTGATATAAATTTTGAAAAGGGGGTAATGTCAATTCCAACCTTAAAAATTGTTGATTATACAGAATCTATCCTTCGAAATTTAGTTGCTTATGAACAGTGCTACATGGACATATCTTCAAGACACTTCATAGATTATATTAGATTCATGGATTGCCTCATCAACACAGGGAAGGATGTTGAATTACTCCGTTACCATGAAGTCATTGAAAATAGGTTAGGTGATAATGAAGTGATTGCTGACATATTTAACAGAATCTGTGATTCCGTTTTGATTGCCGAAGAGGACTTCTTGTATGCCGACTTATTTGTCAAAGTGCACAAACATTGCAAAAGAAAGTGGAACCTGTGGAAGGCAAATTTATGGCACAATTACTTCAACACCCCATGGGCATTGATTTCCTTTCTTGCTGCGGTTTTCTTGCTTCTACTTACTGCGATGCAAAGTACATATTCAGCTCTCACTTACCATCATCCGCAGGATGGTATAGCTCCTCAGGATGGTATTGCTCCTTTCTAGATAATAGAGGCAGGAATATGGTGGGGGAATCAAGAGTGAAAGTCGCGTTCCATTTATCTATATGGTTATATGTTATTTTTTTTTCTGTTGCAATGTTTTGTAATAAATGAAAATAGAAGTTCAGACAATTATTTACCTATTTGACTACTCAATCGTAGCATCATGTTTTTTTTTTTTTTTTCAATTAATATTACATTAATAGGATTAGTATCTATTTAAAAGAGAGGAAGAATGTCGAGCACTGGATCGACTAAAGAGCAAGGTGCCCCGACTTTGCTTCTCAAATGATAAGCGTGGCCACTGGACCACGAAGTGGTGAGCAAATCGTGGGATCATGTTATTATGCATATTGTGAACGGCTTGTGGTATTATTTTATGCCCTTGGGGCCTATAAAAGTCCTTTTCTTTCCTTTGGGCCTTGGACTTTGAATTAGGCCTCTATTGCTTCAAGTCTGGGCCTATTTCTTCCTCTTTCTACGCAGTGAGCAACACAAAACAGCATAAAGTCATAAGCTACTCGAGCTTCGGCAGTATGATAATGGCTGGAAAAGAAACTGAGTACGACAGTGCTTCGTACTCGAACCTAGTCTCCGATCAGTCTTTCAAACTCCAAGATCAGTCGACGCACCCTAGCACCACCGCCAACGCCTCCGCTGGCGGTCTTGAAATCACCTGCTTTAGCGAGCTCGTCGATGACGCTACCTTCTCCTTCCAAATCATTCGTTTCCCTAAACAGGTATCGATATTTAATTAGCTGAATTTCGGACCTTTTTTTATATCCAGAGGTTGATCGCTTTCTAATTACGAACAGATATATGCATGGATCGGTTGCAACTCTACGAAATTCGGTGACTTGTACGCAGCTGCATCGACACGATCTTTAAGATTATAACCTTCTAAATTTAGGGATTAATAATTGATAATGAATACTGGTTAAATTCTCATTTGCTTTGACGGAGGAAACAGAGCAACACGGTCGGTGTGACTTCCATTCTCGGAGGTTCTTCGGATAACACCGGGTCTGGAATCGCTAGGCGATTAGGTAAATTTCTATTAATGTGTTTTGTTTTGTTTCTTTTGATAATTGCCATAATTACCATATGAAATTGCCATAATTACCAAGCAATATCAAAGAAATGTGCAAAACGAATCCATAAACAAACCTCAATAACAGATGGGAGTTTGAGATGGTTACAGAAATCACCAATCTCAACACAAGTAGGATTCTCACATGCTTTGCTCAAGCTGATCCGCCTCCCTTCAGCTACAGTTTTCTTCGAATTTATATAAACA